TCTGTATGTTCTGGAAGGCCTGTTTATCTGTATGTCCTGGAAGGCCTATTTATCTGCATGTTCTGGAAGGCCTATTTATCTGTATGTTCTGGAAGGCCTGTTTATCTGTATGTCCTGGAAGGCCTATTTATCTGCATGTTCTGGAAGGCCTATTTATCTGTATGTTCTGGAAGGCCTGTTTATCTGAATGCCTCACTTGACTGTATTTTACTTGGACGATTCATCCAGAAGATTGTTTTTTTTTTACTGTTTAGTTCGGTAATTAATCGTTCTACACATGTTACATTGCTGTAATTTTACTTTAAATGAGGGACAAAATTTGCCCTAAAACCTTGAAAACAGTGTGGTAGGGCTAAGTATAATTCATAGTCAAGGCTAATTATGAAACTGTAGTTCTGTATAAAAAGTGTCGCCATTTTTATTAGAACGATTATTGTTCCCTAGTGGCTCAGCCGTGAGACTGAGGACTTATCATGCTGAAAGTGAGGGTTTGATTCCCGTAAAGGATATAGCGCAAATAGCCCATTGTGTAGCATTGCGCTAAAACAAACAAACAGACAAAGTCACATTATTTATATAAAACTGATTGGTAATTCTCCTGTTTTGTAGTGCTTCAGCTTGCCGTATTTTACATTCTGGTTCAGGGTTAGTATATTTAGTACAGTAGGGTGTTTAAAGCCAGTATACATAGTATCATTCAGACAAAGGCAAAAATCTGAATTATAGTCGGAAGTATGTAGCTTATTATGTTTGAGTAGTCGTTTATTTACATTGATATAGGAGATTGGCTGATATTAATTAAAGATCACCACCCCCTCATTCCCACGTAGTGAATTTCCCAATACTCCCGTCAGTGAAATACTCCCAAGAAGAGAGAAACCCAGCACTCACAATCGAGATGTACCAGCACTCATCAAATGAAATAACCCAACACTCCCAGAAAGTGAGGACAAACACTTCCATCAAGCAAAATACAAGTACACTAACACTGCCAATAAGAGAGTTACAGAAGCATTCCTGCCAAATGAAATACTCCAAAACTCATACCAAGCGAGATACACCCCCACTAAGTGAAATACTCCCACAAAGTGAGATTCGCTAACACTCCCACCAGGCGAGATATTTTGAGCAGTAGTATCATTTTTTTAAAACTAATATTATGAATGTGCTAGAATACATTCCGTTGTCATTAAAGGATCACAGTTAAGTTGTCATGATACCAATTAAAAACTTGAAACGTCCTCGCGTACGTGGAAGAGTTTATCTGGCTGAAAACGTTTTTTTTTTTTGTTATTGTTTAGAATCCGTTGGATGGTCGAAGCAGGCATGGTGGACAAATGGTTGGATAAAATGAACGGTGATCTTGAAAGATGTTTGGACCAAGATGGAGGAGACAGAGCAAGGGCTCTGGGAGTAGAAGATCTATGGGCCATCTTTATTCTCTGGGCTATTTGTATTGCCATGGCAACTGCTGCCTTTGTGTTTGAATTGCTTTTCTATAAGCTCCGGACCATTTCGAAAAAACAAACTTTGATGAACTTAAAGGCACAGAGATAATTATGCAAATAAGGTCACTGAGATAAATGACATCGCTACAGACAATGAGATAAGTTATTCCGCTAAAAGCACTAACCTAAATTATATCGCTAAAGGCACCGAATAAGATGTATCACCTTAAAGGCACCGACGTTGCGGAAGGCACTAGAATAAGTTATATCGTGAGTACATTTAGCATGTGATCTCACACACCAGAGAAAACAACATGAAACTAGAAAATAGTTTAAAATAACATTTATGCCTGTCTGTTTCTGCAAGTTTCATTGTTTTCTATCACATTGCAATCTGTAGTACTGTTTCCACTGATAACAATATTTCACTTTAAAATAACGGTTTAAACATTAGAAATACGTGATTCAAATTGTGTGTAATGAAATTATGTATTTATCGTTCGTGTATTTTTCAAGAATTAAGTTTTACTTATAAAGCAATTGCGTATAGAGTGCTTTGTTAATATTTTCAAGATAGTTTGGTTTCTACAACTTTACGTATATAATATATAAAATGCAGACAATTGATCGGATGAAGTAAAGATATGTAGGTGAGTGTTATAAGTATTGTTCAGCTGGTAAAAGTATTATCTTCATTTAGTCTAAGCTAAAGTGTAATCC